TTTCAGTTCCTGAGGGATGGAACCTTGTTTCCAGAAAGACCGGAACAGCTGGGTGAGTTTTTCAACAAGCACAGCACCACCAGCCTTATAGACTTCCGCTGGGATTGCATCAGATCCTGGTGCCTTACCACTGGAACACTGACTGATGGCCTGTGAGGTTTCAGCCTCTGATGGTGGGACATCCAGGCTATAGTTGATACCCACCTGGGGTATTCTGTCGATCGCTTCATTATTGATGGTGGATAGGCGATTCAGTACAAAGTGGAAATGCTCAGCCCAACGCTGTAAAATCAGATTCCTCTCAGTGATGAGAGTTGCACCCCTCGAATCCAATAAAGGGGAGCTTCCTGAGGGCTGAGGTCCATACAGGGATCTAAGAGCTTCATAGAACCATTTGGCATCGTTTCTATCAGCAAACGTCTGGAGTTGGGAAGCAGCTAGTGGTACATAGTGAAGGCACATGCTTCAGATGCCAAGAAAGAAAAAAACAAATGTTACCTTTCAAAGATAGTGCTGTATTCAGTAGCAAAAAATGTAGCAGAGTATGTTACCTGTTGTAAATAGATGCTGTGGACATGTTTTAAGTCTGGCAGGTTGGCAATGCAGCTAATTCTCTCCCTATCCAGCCGTAGGACCTGTAGAGAAGCCAGAGCTTCAGATCTGGAATTGGAAAGATATTTTTTCAGCCACAAACATTATACCTCTTTTCCTTTCCCCCATCCTCTCCTCTGCCAAAGTATTACCAGCACCTGAAAGAAAGTGTTATATCTATTTAAACAATAGCAGGAATACTCACATCTTCTCTGGGTCCTCTTTCTCCACTGGTACTGGCATATTCCTTTGGACAATAAGAGATTTTGTCAAGTATACTCCTTCAGTCGAGGGTTGTAAATTTGCTGAAAACAAATAAAGGATTCTGGTTTATCTAGGTTTAAATCAGCATACCAGCTATGCTACTGTGTCATGATAAAAGCAAATCTCCTTGTTATTGTTTCTAACAGTGAAAGTTCATAAGGAAGATTCTAGGAAAAAGAACTCTGAAAGAAAATAAAAGATAATATATTTCCAGAATATATCAGAAAGGAAGAGGAAGATCCTTCATTTTATATAGAATACTGTGCCATGACTATATCTCTACTCAGGGCTTTTTTTGTCATAGAACACCCAGAACAGAGTTCCAGCACCTTTTTTGGATGGAACCTTGTAGAGTAGGCAAGGCGGATTGTATGACGTGTGTGAGTTTTTGGGGTTTTTTTTACAAAAAAAGCACTGTCTCTACTTATAGTTTGTATTGTATGGCTTTATTTGACAAAGTTTTGTTGTTCTTAATCACTGCCAGAAAAAATCTACCTGAGACATGATTACTTTTAATAACAGTCAGATTTAATCATACTTAAGGTAAACCCATTGAAATGAATGGGACAAATTAACTGTAAATCCCACTAGTCCATATTAAGAGAATAAATCTTACAGAAAGTATATAATGGATAAAATTGATTTACCCACCAAACCACAACAAAGTGATTTCTAAAAGTCAGTATGTAGTTCTCAACTTACAACAGTTCATTTAGTGAATGTTCGAAGTTACAACTGCACTAAAAAAAAGTGACTCATAACCGTTTTTGACACTTAACAATTGTTGCAGCAGCCCCAAGATCACATAATCAAGATTGGCAACTGACTGATATTTATGGCAGTTGTGTCCTGGGGTCATGTTATCCCCTTTGGTGACTGACAAGCAAAATCAAGGGGGAAGCCAGATAACTTAACAATCGTGTTACTAATTTAACAGCTACAGGGATTCACTTAACAACTGGCAAGAATGGTTAGTAAAATGGGGCAAAGGCCAGTTAGCAACAGAAATTTTGGGTTCAATTGTGGTTGTAAGTCAAGGACTACCTGTAAATGTAATTCCAAAAAAACCAAAAACAGAAAGGTGAAAAAAATAAAAAATAGGCAGTAATGGACTGATTTATTACCAGCTAAGAGCTGGGGGTGTAACAATACAAGGGAACAACAATCAATCATCAACAGTCAATCAGTCATCAACATCCCAATCAACAACTAAAAGCCACACACTACCAGGCATCATATAAATACTATGCACAGAACAGCCCAGTGCACACATCCTGGAGATTGAGAAGTCCCTGAGGATGGGCTCCAGCGCGAGTCAAAAGCTTGAAAGAACAAACCTCTAATCCCGGTGACCAACTTAGATTGGATCCTGCAACATTATCCTGGGACATGTATATTTGCCTTTATTCGCAAGTAGTGTAATTTGATTAATCTTATCCATGCCATGAGGGAAATAAAAATATACAGGAACTATCCCTCATTTAGTTAGGAACAATATTTTGATCATTGAGAAGGTTGATACCAATTGCTTATTGTTTCAGTTCTACATTGGACTGGCTCCCTCAAGTCCTATTGAAATTAAGTATTAGTATTGGCAACTACAGTGCTTTTTTTCTAAAAAAAAAAAAAAAAAAANCAGTGCTTTTTTTCTAAAAAAAAAAAAAAAAAAGGTGCCGGAACTCACACACGTCATATAACCCACCTTGCCTACCCTACAAGGTCCCATCCAAAAAAGGTGCCGGAACTCCGTTCTGGCATTCTATGAGAAAAAAAGCCCTGGGCAACTAACTCATGAGGCTTTGTCACCTTAGATTTGGAGATGTACGCTGTGTTGTCTAAAACCTAAGAACTTGTCGAAGGAAAAGTCTTCATCATGGTTCAGTCCAAGCTGGGAATAAACAACATGGCGACTGCTTTAGAAAGAAGGTTGCAGTTATTTGAAGAGGAGAGCCAGATAGAAAGATGGCTCTGGAAGAAAAGAGAGAGCACATGTAGGAAGTGGGTTTTTATACTGTTGAAAGAAAAGTCTTCATCCTGGTTCATCCAAGCCGGGGATAAATAAACAACATGGCGACTGCTTTGGGAAGAAGGTTGCAGTTTATTGAAGAGCCAGAAAGATGGTTCTTGCAGGAAAGACCAGAGAAAAGAAGGGCTGAGCACATGGGTAGTAGGTTTTTATACCCTCTCTAGCCTTTTGTTTGGAATAGTTTCCTGTTCCTGTGGCATGAACTTTGAGGATATTTCCTGTGTCACGTATTCTGACCTGAGTTTAGGTGTACCTCTCTGGTATTCTTTATGGTGATGGGTTAGTCCTATTATCATATCCTGTTTCCCTGGTGATGTGGCTAATGGCTCCTAGTTTGGGTGGGGTATGCAGATTTTAGGTCTTTGTCTTCTTGATCTCCTAGCTGGGGCCTTTCTGGTGGTTTACATCTGCATTTGTATAGAGCTGGCTCCTGCTTGGGACAGAGAGACTTGGGGGCAGGGTTGGTTTCTGCTTTTTAAAATCCTTTTGAGGAGATATATTTTTCTGCCCTTTTAATATTTCCTTCTCTGGGGAATTGACTTCCCACAATACCCTTTAGGGCTCTTGAAGTTGTTTTCTGTTCCTGACTGAGGCTTTGTATTTCCTGTGTCATGTATTTTGACCTGAGTCTGAGTGTGCCCCTTTGGCATCTGTGGATTAATCCTATTATGTCCTGTTTTAGAGTTTGGGTGGGGTATGTAAATTTTAGGCGTCTTCGTAATCTTCTAGCTTCAACCTTCCTGAATGGTTTACATCTGCATTTCTACAGAGCTGGTTTCTGCTTGGGGGAGGGAGACTTATGGCTATTAAGAAAAACTGGGAATGCTTTTCTGCCTCTTTAAGATCCTTTGAGGAAATATATTTTTCTGCCCTTTTTAATATTTAACTTTCTAAAATGGCGATACAGTAGTTCAGTTTTTTAATAATTACTTTTCAACGCCTTGAACTTTTAAGATATTTTCAAAGTGGAGGACTTACCTCCTGGCATGACTGATGAATCCTCCTGATGCCCAAAAATGAATATCTGTCTCCTAGAAAAAGAGACTGGGGAGGTTATTCGCAACCGCTATAGGTTCAGAATCTCCATGGAAACGGCCTATAGCTAGTAGAGGGAGGAGGCAAGAATTACTATAACAACCCCTTGCGTTTAATTGGCAACCAAAGAATGCAGCCACAGCAGCGTTCAAAAGTCTTTGTGTTTCCCCCTCCCCCCCCCAAAAAAAATCTAGCAGCAGGTTGGAAGGAGAATTTGTAAGAATTCCTTATATCCACCCAAGGACTGGCGGTGTCCCCTTGGCAACATTTATGGCAGTGTTTCTCAACCACAGTCACTTTAAAACGTGTGGACTTCAGCTCCCAGAATTCCTCAGCCCACCCTATGCTGGCTGAGGTACTCTGGGAGTTGAAGTCCACAGAGTGGCTGAGACTAAAAAATATTGATCTAGGGTGAAACGGGCTTATCTTATCTTTTTTACAAATGAACTGTTGTAAAATTGAAGTGTGGTACCTCTGCCTTTCTCTACGGGTGCCACTAGCAATCCCTAGGGTTACCATAGCAGAAGAAAGCAAAGGGCTGGAGTCTCTTTCCAGTCATTAAGGACTGGGAGAGGGAGAAGCTTGAGAAAGTTGATCACGAGACAACTTCTCGACCCTTCGTTGCTAGGAGACAAAAGCTTTTTCTTTTTCTTTTGAAGGATAGGTAGGACTGAGAGAAAAGGGTTCCTTCCCCTTTAAATCTCCACTCCCGTGATGCTCTATTCTGACGTCCACGTTTTTCGGAAATGGCTGCTGTTGGCGGTTGGGGTAAAAGGATCTGTAAAACCGGTAAGACAAATGAAAAGTCGAAGAGCTTTTCCCCCTCCGGAAATTATTATCCGTTATTGTGACTTGTAAATCACTTTATCTTGTATGCGGTGAATGCTCATCTTCTTTTGTGTCGGCGAGATCTAGAGGCTAGCACTACAGCTCTCCCTGTTGAAATTCAGCCTGAATCATTCTTTCTTTGCCGATCTTTCGCCCGCATTGCAAACATCCTAACTTTTTGTAAATTTTGGACTGACACAGTTTAGACTGTTAGATTATTCAACTATTCATACCTCGGTAAAGCAGAGGGAATGGGGTAACAAGGAGCTTTTGACATTGGTCAAAATTGTAATTGATAGGAGTATTACGTTGAGTGTTTTAGGGGAAGAACTCACTTTTTTTCCAAGCAGATTTTAATACTAAGAAATACTTAAATAATTACATAGATAATATTGTGTATAATGCTATATAGTACATAGATAAGGTATCCAAAATAAAAAGTTTGTAAATTGTAAAAGGTACTTTGAACTTCCTTTTATGATAGTTAACGCCTAACATAAGCAATTGTTACAAGTTTTGCTCCTTTCAATAAATTGACCATTGATTTATAGATTTCAGACTCTTAATATTTTAACATACAATAATTAATCTCTGCTCCCAAACATAAAGCAACTACTGTTTCTTCAGTGATTTCTTAATCATTGTAAAAAAAATTGAGACTAGTTTTTGTCAACTTTTGTAAATGAAATTTGTGGGAATCTCGATGGATGGAGGCATTCAGAGCAATTTCTTTGGTATTAGTTGGTTTTAAAGTTTTGTTTTGCTACATAGAAATTTATAATTATTTCTTATATCCTTTTTTCCTATTTACCTTCTAAGCTAAACAATCTAAATTATATAAATATGACCTTTGCAGCATCCCCATGGTCACATGATCAAAATTCAGATACTTGTCAATTGACTCATATTTAGGATTGTTGCAGTGTTCCAGGGTCATGTGACCACTTTTTGCTACCTTCTGAGAAGCAAAGTCAATGCTACCTTCTGACAAGCAAAGATCCACTTAACTGTTACTAATTTAACAACTAACGTTTCATTTAAAAACTGGCGAGAAAGGTTGTAAATTGGGGCAAAATTCACTTAACATATATCTTTTTTAACAACAGAAATTTTGGATGCAGTTGTGATCATAAATTGAGGATTACCAGTATTTGTTTTCCAAGACAATTACAAGTACAAGTAGCATGTTAAATCTAAAGTTATGACAGATTTATTTAATAGTGGCATGATGCTTGTTACTCTTTGAATAAATAATTCCTGAAAGTTTCCTTTATTGAGGATACTTCAGGGTAACAAAAACCAAATCTGGATTTAGATGGATTTTAGATGGATTTTATGGGCAAATTCTAACCAGTACTGTTAATCAGTCCAAAACTTAATATCCATGATACTTACTCATTACTAAGCCTAAATACCTTACAGAAAGCTTGAGTGTGAGGAGTTATGAATTTCATGATACCTTTATGATTAAAAAAATGTTCTTCTTATAGTTGGTAATTCCTGTTGCTTCTAATCTTGCTTGTGAGCTCAGGACGTCTCTGACAACTTTATTAATCATAGTCTCCCTCTTAAATGTTTTATATTCTTTGCAGGAATACAAAACAGAATCAAATCTCAAAACCAGACATTGCTGTTTTTTCACTTTCCAGACAATTCTGATGCCGAGTACTATGATAGCATAAATATACAAATGCATCATATTATTACATTAGGCCCTGTAAGGGTTTTTATATTTTTGTTTTAGTTTATTTTTTTGTATCACGGTGGAAATATGTTTTCTTTGTTCCATATGGATTTATGTCCTCTGTAACTATTGCTTAATTGTTCATTGTCTGCTCACATCACACCAATCTGAATTATTTATATAAATTGATCTGTATATTACTGCACTCTTAATTCTTTTTAATACTAGGATCCTTTAATTTTTCCTTGGAGAGTTGTTGTCTTGGAAATAGTGGTCATATAAGAGCCCACTTGCCTACATTTGGAATTTGTACTGTAGTCTAATTCTCCTGTTGTTTTATTGATCTAGGCTGGCTGCCTGCCCTGCAACTTATCCGTCATAGCTCCAAATCTGTCACACGTCATTGGAAACCGATGCACATTATGAGGGAAAAGTTGATGGCAGTGACTGAATATATCCCACCAAAACCTCTGACTTCAGAGACCTGTATGAAGCCCCATGCCATTCTTGCTAAAGAAGTAATAGCATTCTTCTATTTCGGGATGGTTGGAATGATATAAATACTCATTTGTGATTAAAATTCTTGAAAGACTTTTTATACTTTGCCCTTCATAGTTCTGTCAATTGTGGAAGAGTTCATATTATTTCTTTCTATAATAGATAGCCATATTATTCTAATAATATCTAATGCTATGTTTCCTGCTGACCTTTGGGAAATAGTTAATTTGTGCTACTATTCAATTGTAAAGCCATAAAGAATTTCACTTCACATCCTTGCTTATGCTCCACTAAAATCAGAAATCAGCTGTGGCTATTCTACTCAGTTGTCTGAATTTAAATACTTTCCTTATCCTAGCTCAGGCATGTCAAACTCATGACATTGCGCAACGTATCGGGACTTTCCCCCCATTGCCAGCAATGGGGTGGGCGCGGTTTCAGCGTGATGCATCCGGCCCATGGGCCGGCAGTTTGACTTGCCTGTCCTAGATCATCTATATTTTAGATATTTTCTTATTATGTTCAGGAAAGCATTTGCTTGATTCAGATGAGAATTAGTTGAAAAGATCACTATTGGCTTTCTCGATATTTATTCAATTTGTTTTATAGAATTTTTCATTTATATAAATTGGACCTTGTCATATTTATTGTTTAAGATATAAGCAGAATTGTGGATCAGAGATGAATGATAGAAATAACCCTATAAAGCCAATAGCACTATTGACATTCAAATAATATTGCTGGAGCTAACTTGCACTGATGACTAATCAAAGATACCCATTTTTGAACAATTGGGTAACAGCTATATTATACTAGTATTGTAAAGCAAAATTCAGTATACTGAATATCTCAAATTTACTTCTATTTTGACTATGGAAGTAAGACTGAATTTGTTTTTAACAGCAAGAACATCTATCTATCATATTCCCATCCAGATAGAAATTCTGCTTTCGTTTGTGATGGAATGACAGATGAATCCCTGCTGAATTGAGCAATTTAGTTTGTATTTGTTTGGCTTAATTCTACGCAATAAGTACCCAAAGTCTGAATTTTTCCACCTCCAAAATAGTGGTAGAATGTTCTTGAGATATGTTGTTTATTTAATTTTCAAATGGCAATAATTCTAATGAAGCTTATTTAAATCAAGTTTCTGAGCCTTACTAAGTTTGGACAGAGTTTTAAGTAACGTACACCTAAAGTAGATTGATAGCTTTAACTTAACTGATATCACAGAGAGAAAAAGCTAATTAAGTATAAAATAAATATTCTAATTTGCTTCTGAAAAAGTATGAATGGTCGTTATAATTAGAGGAACATTTTATTTTTATTGATATCCTACCTTTATTATTTTTATATAAACTTAAGGCAGCAAACCCATTCAACACAAATTTCTCCTCTAATTTTCTCCACAACAATCAGGTGAGGTGAGTTGGGCTGAGAGAGAGTGACCATTTTACCTTGGTGAATAAATCAGAATTTATGTTTCTGAAATCTACTGGTATTTTGGAACTATGGAATATAATATTTTAGAGTTTTTATTGTCTGTATTTTCAAGATTGCAAATCCATTTTTCTCTCGTGCAGGAGACTGGCTATGAAAGACTGTTATTGCGTCAAGTGAAACAAATATTCCTTGAGAATAAAATGATTGTTGTGTGCCAATACAATTATATTCCTGGAAATGATATGGTATTATTCAGGCATCGGCTGCGAAAATATAATATCCATGTCAAATTTTTTCCCAATAAGGTATAGTTTTCTGTATTAATAGTCTTTCAGAAATATAGCATTGTAATAGTGTGTGTAGTAAAGCTTTTTTTTCTTTTGCTCTCTTTGATTTGTAAAAAATAAAATCTGTGTTTAGACTTAAATATTTTGCCTTCCCAGAAGGATCAGCCAATGAATTCTAATTTTTTTAAAAAGTTTGTATAGAAACAATGTGCCAAGGGAACGTATGCTCTTTGTCCAATACATTGTCAACGACTTATTAAATGATAATTTAACTGATCAATAGCTAGCACAGTCAGATTGTATGGTTGTACAATTTTATCTCTTAACCCTTGTTTTGTTGTTCTTTGTTGTTCTTGATGCCTTTCTCTTTTTTCTTTCTGTTGAAGTTAGTATGATTTTATTGGTAGAGTTATAAGAGCTCCTATTTGCCATTTAAAAGTTCACGTGCACAGGGAGAAGGGTTATAGTTTCAGTATATCCTATTTCTGTGAATGAAAAGTAGAATTTTGTTATAGCTCAGTCATACCCATATGAAATTCTATGTGGTGTACTTGTTTAATCCAGCACTGATTTGCTATATTGTTTCTTCTTATTCCTTCAACTCTTCAATCTCCACAAAGCAGGACACTCTAATACAATAGGAAAACCTATTTGGGAGTCTCCAGGGGAAAAATGACCCCTGCTGTAATCTCTGTAATTATGATATTTTTTCAATGTAAGGACAATTTTGATATAATCCTTTTCTCCACTTTTCCAGATCATGATTCCCTTTCTTTTGGAATCTAAATACAAGAATCTCCTCCCTCTATTTGTGGAACGCAACCTTCTACTTGTCAGTATGGAAACAAAGGCTCGGGAAACACTACAAATCCTGAAGCGTGTGCCACAGATTAATATGTTAGGTAAGGGATGAGGTCTTAAAACTTTTTTGATGACAAAACGTTTAGCAGTCAGTAGTGGGATAGGTGGGATAAGCACTTTCTTCAATCTAGACATTGCTCATGTTTGTGGATTTTAACTCCCAGAGTTCTCACCAATGGTTGAAAATTCTGGAAGTTGCAAAGTATGTATATGGCAGTATCCAAGGTAGACAAAATTCCTATGATGGAGTTAGATAACTGGAAAAGAAGCTATGGAAGAGGGAGATTAGTTAAGTACAGTTGAAATACTTGGAAGAGGCATAGCTCACAACTTACTTTATAGCCATAGGACAGGTTTTTTTAAAAAAAATCAGGTGGTGGAAGCTGCTTATTTAAAAAAAATCCTCAGAACTAGATCTAGAAGGATGGTGGTTATTGAGAAACACTACCCTTTCTTGTCAGCTTAATGACTAATTGGAAAATAAGCTGTCCCCAAGGGACTAAGCCTTTTTTTTCTACTTAGTCTCTAAGATAAAGTTGAATTCAAGAGACTAAGGGTGAAAAACTCTCCTTAGTTCTCTGTAGGATAACCTTCCCACAAGGAATTAGGGCGAAAAAATATTAATTCCTTACAGAGTTGCTTTTTTCCTTGGTCTCTTGTGAAGAGAGGTTTTGTTGTTCTCTTAGTCCTCTGGAACTAAGGTTCCTATAGAACCTTTCAAGTATTTCAGTAAAAAAAACAACAACTAGTTGCCTCTTTTGAGCAAATGTGATTGTGTGACCAATTTTATTTATTTAATGTGTTTCTAAACTATTTTTAGATAAAACATTTGTGCATTCTGTTTTCTTCTGGTCACATTTAGTCACCACCTTTTATAATTCTGCATCTCTGTTTGGAAATAAAATGTAAAATTTAAATTTTATAATTTTCTAGTTTATTTTTTTAAAACAAACCAGACTTCTCCTGTGATCTCTTGTGTCATCCTTTCAGAGATATTTCCTTACCAGATTTCTCAATTTCTTCAACCATAACAGCTTGCCAGAAGAAATAGTGGGTGCTTCATCACTGGAGGTTTTTAAGAAGAGACTGGACAGTCACTTGTCTGAAATGGGATAGGGTCTTCTGTTTGAGTAGGGGGTCGGACTAGAAGAACTCCAAGGTCCCTTCCAGCTCTAGTCTGGTTGATTGATTGATTGATTGATTGATTGATTGATTGATTGATTGATTGATAAAGCTTCTAATGTACTGTCTTCACTGGAAAAGTTGAGATACATTCCGAGATGTATCTGTCTTGAAAATAGCCCATGTTGAATTGTATGGCAGAGTGAAACATCAGCAGAGGAAATCTTTTATGACCTTTTGTATTTTGTCATAAATTGTTTTACGATAATGCTTATGTCAACAATGTCTTATAAAATTTGCCAAATTTCAATTCCACAGGATTCATGTATCCTGGATTTTGGACATTTTTGTAAGGTACACTATTTAAAGTACCTTGGTTCAAAACATTTTGCCCTATAATGTACTGTTATGCCCAGTTAATGGTTACAGAAAAGAGAGTTTTAGTAATATATAGATTTCTATCCTAGCTTGAAGGTTTTTATTTCATTTTTTTTCAGGAGCTTGCATCGACAACATCATCCTAAGCAAACAAGGCTTTGTAAATTATGCTAAGCTGCCATCTATAGTAATTGCCCAGGGAGAAACTGCAGGTGTATTCTCACTCATGATGTCCAACACTAGCAGACTTCTGCAGCGTGGCTCTGTTCATCTCAGTTCGTTGCTGGACCAATATGTTCAACAGGAAAATGAAAAAGTTGAAGAAAAAGCAGATAGGAACATCAGCTAAACTGGAAGCAATTTAATTCTTCAGTGTAAAATGGCCATGTTTACTTCATTGCATGCCCATGGGTTTGTGGGAGGGGTTAATTAGTATGATTGATAAAATTCTATCAGTTAGACCACATAGAGAAAAAAAGCTGCAGAGCTAGACAATGAACAAGAATTTTATTGACTACATATAATAGTATATATTTGTGGAATTTTACTGTATATGGAAGATCATAGGTATTATCATTTAAATCAAACGTGCAGGTGCAGTACATTTTTAATATGAACATTTTATTAATTTGCATAATTTTCTGCTTTACATTGAGCAAGAAACAGACTTTAATAGGAACGTATGTATTTATTTTAGGCTGTTTATATATCATAGCTTATCAAAATAGATTAGTTTGACAAAGTAAGTTTTAAGAACTGAATTAAGAACAAAATAAAAACAATCTTCCAGGCGATCCAAAATGAAATAATATTGAAAACATATAAGTTAACAACAAACTATTTACTCTTGCACCAAACTGCACATAACTTTATCAGTGTTTTAAAGAACCTAGTATGAATAATAACTTTATTCTGTGATACCAACCACAGATGTTGGTTGAAAGGACAGATGTTTTTTCCCACTTATGGTCCATTATTAGTATGATAAATGAATAGAAATTACAATCATTTTAGTGAGAAATAGGTTGTTTTGTATCACTTTCAGAGTTTAGTTATTTGGGAGGGGATTCCAACTGTCAGGTTCAATTAAATTATACAGTGTAGGATTAGAAAATAGTGTTAGAAAAAAATTAAAGGTTGAAATAGTTTGCTGAATAAGAATTTTTTTTTTGACATAAGCATCTTGAATATATAAGAAAGAACATAGGAAAAAGATACATAATTTTTTGTTATTGTACAAAATGTGTTTGAATAGAAATTACTCAGGATAAATAAAGCATGTATGATCAGCAGATAGTCATTCATTGCTTTCCATCTTTTAAATGCTTGTGTAGGATAAATGTTCTTATTTGGTTAAATAACTATTAAAATGCTTCAGAAATGCGGATTCATAGTAGTTATATGTAATGGATTTTAGCTTAAATTAAGCATGTATAATTATTCAGGTAGGGAAATAAATATGCTTGTTTGCAAGATATTTTATAAATAAAAATGTCTTCAATTATCTAAGTGAAATAATCCTGAGATCAAACTGCATTGTCCTCTAAGAAGATTTTTAAATTTAGTAATTTAACTAAATTTAGCAGACAATGTAGCTTGAATAAAATATTTTATTCTGTTTTAATAACATTTTCCCAGGAAATATGAAAATTCAAGATATGATATAAAGTTTGTGTCTTCCTATGATATTAATTATTGAGTTGAAACCATGCTTAGCCCGTTTTCTGAATAAATGACAATTAGCTTGGTTTCTTGTTGTTCTTCATTGACTATGTCATGTCTGACTCTTTGTGACCCCATAGACCACAGCATGCCAGGCCCTTCTATCTTCTACTGTCTCCTGGAGTCCACCCAAACCCATGCTTACTGCGTCAGTGACAGTCATTCTCTGCCATCCCCTTCTTTTGCCTTCAAATCTTTCCCAACATTAGGGTCATTTCCAATGAGTCCTTTTTTCTCATTTGATAGCCCAAGTATTTGAGCTTCAGCTTCAGTATCTGTCCTTCCAAGGAATAATCGGCGGATTTCCTTTAGGATTGATTGATTGAATCTCCTTGCAATCCTAGGGACTCTCAAAAGTCTTATCCAACACCACAATTCGAAAGCATCCATTTTTCAGCTCTCAGCCTTCCTTATGTTTCAACTTTCACAGCCATACATTACTCCTGGGAAAATCATAGCTTTGATTATACGGACCTTTGTTGGCAAGTTGATGTCTCTGGTTTTTGATATGCTGTTTGAAATAGCTTTCCCAAGGAGCAAGTGTCTTTTAATTTCATGGCTGCAGTCACCATCTGCAGTGATCTTGGAGCCCAAGAAAATAAAATCTGTCACTGCTTTCATTTCTTTCCCCTTCAATTTGCCAGGAAGTGGGACTGAATGCCATGATCTTAGTTTTTTTTTAAATCTTGAGTTTCAAGCCAACTTTTGACACTCTTCTTTCACCTCATCAAGAGGCTATTTATTTCCTCTTCACTTTCTGCCATTAGAGTGATGTCTGCATATCTGAGGTTATTATTATTTCTCCCAGTAATCTTAATTCTGACGTGTGATTCATCCAGCCAACATTTTGCATGATATACTCTACATATAAATTAAATAAGCAGGCTGACAATATAGTCTTGTCATACTACTTTCCCTATTTTGAACTAATCAGTTGTTCCATGTCCGGTTCTAACTTGCTTCTTGAGCCATGTAGACGTTTCTCAGGAGATAGGTAAGGTGTTCTGGTACTCCCATCTCTTTAAGAACCTGCCACAATTTGTTGTGATCTACACAATCAAAGCCTTTAGCATAGTCCACGAAGGCAAGTAGATATTTTTCTGGAATTCCCTTGCTTTCTCCATAATCCAGCAAACGTTGGCAATTTGATCTCTAGTTCGTCTGCCGCTTTGAAATCCAGATAGTAGTTCTAGAAGTTTTGGTAAATTTTGAGCATGATCTTACTAGCATGTGAAATGAGCGCAACTTTATAATAGTTTAAACATTCCTTGGTGTTGCCCTTCTTTGGGATTGGATATAAACTGACCTTTTCTAACTGGCCATTCTTGAGTTTTCCAAATTTGCTGGCATATTGAGTGCAGCACAGCATCATCAATTAAGATTTTAAATAGCTGAGCTGGAATCTCCTCTAGCTTTGTTGTTGGTAATGCTTCCTTAGGTCCACTTGACTTTGCATTCCAGCATGTCTCACAGCTGGTACACAAACCAGAGTTGTGCAAAAGCTCTCCTAGTCACACCTGCCGCCTGCTCTTCAGGCAGGATACATGAGTCCAGAAAAATCCCTTGGTTGCAAACTGGGTCTGAATGGTGTGCAATCGTGTCCAGAACTAAGAATAACAAAAAATTGAATCCTGAAGCTCCATGCAGTTAAAACCATTCAGTCATTCCAAAGTTTGTTCTTCTCTATCCAGCTCTCTACAGTCTCCAGTGAGAGAGCAGAGACATCATCACTTGGATCACCATGTGTAGAGATGTAGAACTGAGTATCACCAACACATTGATGAAATCTCAACCAGTGATAGATGATCTCACCTAATAGCTTCATATAGATGTTAAAACAGAGAGAATATGGAGCCCTGTGGGATGTTACAAGTGACCAGGGCTGTCCTATAGCTGGTCTGAATCCTGACAGAAAAGGGCCCAGGAAATCTGTTTCATCCAGGATTTCCTGAAGCTGCTCAGCAACCACCTTTTCTACCACCTTCCCCCAAAAAGGTAAGATGGGAGATTGCATGAAAGTTGTCCAGGCAAGAAGAGTTGAGTGACTTTTTTTAAAGATAGGACAAACCAGGATCTTCTTAAAAGGTCCCAGAAATGTCCCCTTTTGCAGTGAAGAATTTATCATTGCATGATAAATGATGGTCACCCTCCTGGAAGCTTTCACCAGCCAGGAAAGAGCAGTGATGGGATTCAGCCAGTTTGCACCACTTCGGCAGAACCCGGTAGATAATTTTTTGTTGCCCAGGTCCAGAATGGACTTCCGGAAGCAGTATCCACAGAGAGAACTGGTTGTTCACATATTTGAATCCCACCACTGGACAAGAGTCTAATTGATTGGTAGTTCAGAGGACCCTATCCACTTCCTTAGGTCCAACAGGGACAAACTGTTCCCAAATTATTGGGCATCTCATAAGGACCAGCCAAGGGTTGTAAGTGAGAATGAATCCAAACAATGTTATCCAACAGGGGTTCAACATTTTTTTCTGCATGGCCCTGAAGATAATAATCTGAGCCCTGGTCTAGGAGTGATAGAGTGATCCAGAACAGGGCCAATGGGTGACAGTCTGCGGATGCAATAAGACCAGTTTTGTTTTTCTGTTTTAATCATCATAAAACAAGCCTTAATAATTAATGTTGATAAATGAAGAAATCAAAGAATTAGGTTAGTTCCTTGTATTGGTTGGTTCCTAGTGTTGCTAGTTCAAATATATTGTGCAGTGACTTTTTGTATTCCTTAATGTTTTTTATTAATGTTTTTTTCTAAAAAAAAAAAAGAGTGATGGATACAATAGGAAACTGAAATTTTAAATGAAGAACGATGCTATCTGGTGCACTTGTAAAATGTTATGAATAAGGCAGGCTAATTGTACCATCAAAGCCTAATCTAGAAGGAAATGAAGTACTGGCTAATCCCAGTTGTTTGAAATTTTGGCAGATGAGCTCGATTTACTATCAGAATAATTGAGATTGGTAAATGATATATTTAATAAATTGAAAATGGTTTAGCAAATCTTTATTACAGACAAGCCCCAATATCTTACATAAAAATAGCTTGTGAATACATTTCATTTAAAATTCTGTCTAGAAAATATAGCTGGTAATTCCAACAGTTCTTTGTAATAATTTCTGAACAGATCCATTTTTGTTGAATTGGCATGAACTCTTAAAGATGAGGAAATCCTTACGTAATGATTTATAAACCTGAATCTATTTTGTTAGAAGGCTAAAGTATTTCTCATGCTTTATACAGGTTAAAGGGAAAAATAATGAACTAATTGATAATTCTTCAACATACACATTAGAAATTTTCTGGTAAATATGGTAAATGAAAACACCGGGGATGAAAGAATGAAAACCTTTGGGTTTAAGAAGATACCAAAATATTGTACATCTTCTAATATCAATATATCATTGTCACTCAGAGGCTTGCAAACTTTCCAGCACCGCTTCGCTTGATGAAGTATTCTAATTACGAAATTCTGAGCGATCGCAAATAAAATATCCTTCAACATCCCATTTTAGACCATATATATTTCTTATGGCTTCATAGAAATTGAAGTTGGAGGTTTTTTTCCTCTCCTAGCAAGAATTTTGCTCAGGATGTTTAATGAGCCAGTCCTCCAAGAGGCACGGTGGCAGATGCGAGCGAAGAGCAGAATAGATAAATTAACAAGAGTTGGTCAGCGAGAGGAAGAGGCAGAAGTGGATTTCTTTCGGCTTTGCTCGGCAGCCGCTTCCTGGTTCCGGTTTGCAGCG